TGTTAACTGACAATGTTCTGATTTCTAGTAAATACCATGAGAGGTAATTTAAGGTGTGAATCTGCGAAAGTTTCAGATAAACCTCGAGGAAACAACTTCACAACCAGGAGGTACACTTACTACAGCAGAAATAATACCAGAAGATTTACAAATTTAAGAATTTCTCTCCCAGCACTTCAGTAAGAGGAACAATCAGCTGAACCAGTAAATCACTCATCTCCAAAATTATGTTTCACTGTTTCCCTACTTACCTGCTACTTCACAGCCATTCTGATGGTCAATTTGGGGATTTAATCTTAAAAGCCACAGAAATTAATGATGTTAATGACTTTATTAAAAGTCATCCTTCACTGTAGTACAAGAGTTCTAGACTGCAACTTTGGCACTGTTTCCTCTCTCCCCAAAATTCGCTCACTCTGTTCATTCCTTCTCCCTCAGGAAATAAAAACCTGTTTTTCATGTACTTAACTTCTTTTTTCCTTGAAAACCTTGATGTATTTAATATCAGGAGAGACCACATTTCATTTATAGCAGCAAACACATCACAGCACCACATCTGAAACATTGGTGCAGTGCCTGAGACTGGAAAGGATTTCCCATTTAAAAGGGTCAAAATTCAAACTAAACTCTTTTTTCCACTTGTTGTTTCACTTACCATAAGGCTTCACAAGAGGCAGCAATTCTGTGCAAACATTCCTGGTTGCAAAAAAGTTTGTCTTCAGTGTAACTTCAGCTTGGACTGCAAATGGAGTGGTGTCATGAACTGGTCATAAGAGGTAGGAAGGGGAAAAAAAATAACAAAAATTAGAATTGTAACACTGACTAGAAATTACCAAACCCCAAAAGTTTATCTTAGTTGCTGTTTTTAATAATTAGAAAACAGGCATATGATCACAGACTGGGCAGGTGTTCATTTTCTATAAATCAAACATAATTCAAAAGAGAAATTGTAACAGGCCACTATTTGATGTGGTTTTTATTGTAAAACATGTTTAATGACCCATACTCATTTGCAAATCACTCACTTGCATTTAAATCTCACACGTGAAGCCAGATTGTGACCCATTGCAGGGTTAAAATCCTACAGAACCCCAAATCCTGCTTCCATATCCTGCCTTCCTTGTGAGAGAGAACCTCCTTACACCCCAAACCCCACTCGTGTCTAACAGAGTATATGGTAACATCCTGAACTTCCCTGACTTAAGAAGCTTTATCAGACAACTCTTCCCAGAGAGGCTCATCCAGAAGAAAACCACAGCTCCACCACCATTTGATACAGGAAGTTTTTGCTGGTTCAAGGACTTTGCTGGAGAAATGCAGCACAAAACCAAAATAAGAAAACTTACTGGCAAATCTAATATTTGACAGACTGCAATAGCACATAATGCCACTAAGAAAGGAAAGCATAAATTCTGGGATGGCAGCAAAAACTTGAGCTTGGGTAGAAATAGCAATCTGGGAAGCAAGAATTAAAACTATGAGAGAGACATCACAGCAAGTTCTTCCACAGATGTTACACCCTCCGTGCTTGATACTCACAGCAACAGTTCCTTTATCACATTCTAAATTGTGTGACTGCTGACTCAGCTGTGATCAGCTTGAGGAAAGTCAAGGCTAAACATCTGGAAGTGATATTTTAACTGCTGCTGGAATCCTTCCTGAAGCTCAGACAATTCTAATAACAGCTGCCTCCTAAGAAGCTGATCATAAGCAATCTTCCTATAAAGTAACAGGCAAAAGAGTCACAACATCATCACTGCACTCCCACTCCATGAGAAGTTCCCTGCTCTCTTTCAGTGTGAAGCTGTTCCCCCATGGAATGCCCCAATTAGGCCACCCCAAAACTTCTCTTGTGCAGGTGAACAATCCCAGCTGTGCCAGCCTTTCCTGCCAGCAGAGCTGCTCCATCCCTCTGCTCATCCTGGAGCCTCCTCTGGGCTCTCTGCAGCAGCTCCAGCTCCTCCCTGTGCTGGGACAGGGCTGGGGCAGCTCTGCAGGTGGGCTCTCACCTGTGGGAGCACAGGGACACAATCCCCTCCATAAAACCATCATCCAGACTTGTGATTTCCTCTGTCTAGAGCAAATTCTGATTCTGCATTTCATATACACAACAAAAATGCATCCTTCTGCCTTGTCGTGTCTTTCTCACTTTCCCTGCCTTTCTGCCCACTGGGAGATGTAAGGGTTAAATTCTTGCCCAGCACAGCAGGATTTGAGTGGTTTAGAGGTGACTGAAAGGCCTGAGAAAGTTCGAGACAGCAAAGCCCACCCAGGGACAATAAAGTTGCTTTTTCATCAGCTGCAATCCCTGAGCAGATAGTGCACAGAGCAGAGCATGGGGGAGGAGAAGAGAGAACACACAGCTCCCTGAGGCACAGGGAGACATTCCCAATGGAGATGGGCTCCCATGGCTCTGCTGGAACTCCTGGGCACTGAGGCAATTAACCCAACCCAGCCCACCTGCCCTGTGTGCCTCCACATTTCCATGTGGTGCAGGGAAGAATGTTTCCACGCTCCAGGGAAGCATGTTTACAGAATCATGGAATTGTTATGGCTACAAAAGCTCTCCCAGCCAATGGAGTCCTATCTGGGCCTGATGCCCACCTTGTCCCCAGCCCAGAGCACCGAGGGCCACCTCCAGCCCTTGCTTGGACATCTCCAGGGATGAGGACTCCAAACCTCCCTTGTGGGAATCTATAAAATTAGAGGGTTTTGGGAAAGCTGCAAAAGACAGGCCTCAGAGACAGCAGAACTGTGATTAGAGCTAAGCAGTAGCTATAAGATAGGTCAGCAGAAAAAATATGTAAGAAGTAAAAAAGTAAGGACAAATAGAACAATGGTCTGTGTATTAATGCTTGTCAACTAACTCCTTAAGTTGCAGAAAAGTATATCTAGCGAGATATTAGGAAATTCTAAGCTTAATAATGGAGCTTTGTGCATTGTGTTTTATGGCTTACGGACAGGTACTGTATTTGAAATAAGCAAGCATTTTTTTAACTGACAGTACGTGTGCTTATAGTGGTTGGATGGAACTACTGACAATATGCTTTTGCTTTGTGTGATTGGGCAAAAAACTTTTAAAGTAAGTTGTAACATTAAGTTCTTAGTCTGCTGCCTGGGATGGGAGCTGATGGCATCTTCCCATTGTAATAAGACTGATGCTGGAAAATAAAACAGCTCAAGGCATGTTCTTAGCAGTCCCGTCCTGTTTGTGATTTGTACATAGCCCCCGGCCGGCGATACTCCCTGGCCACCCTTTCCATGGAGAAATTCCTCCTGGTGTCTGACCTGACCCTCCCCTAGCACACTGTTCTCACACCATCCTTAAGATGGGAAGCTTGCCCAAGCAAAAATCCAGCATGGCACTGGCACAGAAGTGTTGGATGCATCCACTGCCCTCTCCACAGAACACAGCACTACCCCAACAGAGCACTTCCTACCTTTGAAAGCGATGCCAGCGTTGTTCACCAGCACGTTGAGCCCTCCATACTTCTCCTTGAGGAAGTCCCGGAGCGCTCGGATGCTCTGCAGGTCATCGATGTCCAGCTGGTGGAAGAGCGGGCGCAGCCCTTCCTGCTGGAGCTGTGTCACAGCAGCCTGGCCACGGCCGGGATCCCGGGACGTCAGGTACACATCCCCCGGGAATTCCTTGCACAGAGCCCGCACGATGGCCAAGCCAATCCCTTTGTTGGAGCCTGTCACCACAGCCACCTGCACGTTGGACATTGTCCCCTCGGAAGGTGAGCCAATGTCACAGGAACTGCCAACCGCAAAGAAAAGTTCAGTCAGACAGACAAAATGGCTGTTTGGAAAGGAATTAGAATCATGGGATGGTTTGGGCTGGAAGGGACTTAAAATCATCTCAATGCCATGGACATTTCCACTCTCCCAGGTCACTCCAAGCCTCGTCCCACCTGGCCTTGAACATTTCCAGCAGTGTGCAGCCTCCCTGGGCAAGTGTTTTTCCTTTAAAATATTATTTAAAATTCCACCTTGGATTATGTGAAACTACATTCCTGTGCAAGCCGTGTAAATTCCTAAGGCAACACAAGGTATTCACAGAGAAATCTGGTGTTAAGTGTTCTGAAGAAAGGCCAGCCTAGTGATGGATAAAAAGAAATGTCTCGACTAAAAAACGACAGTGACTAATCTTTAGTACTAAATTAACTTTTTATAAGAGTAAGCTCTTCTGCATTTACACCTCACAGAAACACTTTTTACCTTTTGGGAATGTTCAATTGGGTCAGCTCAAGTTTTGCTGAAAACTTCAGGCGAAAAACCTGAGCACCCTGGTTTAGTGCAAGGTATCCCTGTCCGTGGCAAGGGTGGGAAGAGGATGATCTTTAAGGTCCCAAACAATATAAAAAAAAAAGGATGGGGTATCTTTATTTTCCAGTGCCAGACAAGAGGAGCAATTATAGCCTTTTCAGGGGGAAACAGCAGAGCACAGGCTGACTACAATGGCTGGTTGTGTAACACAGCATCCGAAAACCTGCTTGCTGCTTTTCGAACCGATATAGTGCATTTAAAGAAACTGCATTTCCCCCATAAGAGTAATTTTAAACGCTGGGTTTGCCCCCTTTTGGCATCATTACCACCTCTCTTCCAAATTTACTTGTAACCCTAAGCAGGCATCCAGCGAGTATTTAACAATACAAGAATCTCCAGAGTGACGCCCCAGGGTCAGGAGCGCCATTCCCCCTCAGCGCAAGCCTCCCTCTCCCGTCCCCCCTCAGGGGAGGGAAGCCGCGGGCCGCCATAAACCCCGACGCCCTCAGGGGGGACGCGGGGGTGAAGGGTCCGGGGGGGACACCCAGCACCCACCTCCAGCACCCCAGAACCCACCTCCAGCACCGCGGGCGCCTCTCCCTCGTCCCTCAGCTCCACACAGCGAGGACAGAACACGTTATACCCAAAGCACAGCCACCCACAAACCTCGGGGACGGGAGACGGGGCCCTAAGATGGCGGGGCAGCCCCGCCTCAGGGGCGGGAGAGCGGGCGGGAACTTGCGGAGAGGGACAGCGAGGGAATGTCGGTCCTTGCGTCCCCTTTGCAGGTGGGTTTGGGATATCGGGCAGTAGTTCCAGCCTGGGAGAGACTCGGGAATCACAGTCTGGGCTGGCAGGGGAGGATGCGGTTGGGGCTCCCAGGGGGAGTGCGCGGGGCACGGGCGGTCCCTCAGGAAGTTCCGCTCCCGCAGCGCTGCCGGGGCCCTTGCTCTCCCTCCCGTCCAGGGGTTTGTGCCGAGCGGGGAATAGGGGTCTGGTTAGCACGGGATTCCCAGTTCTGGGGCTCGGATGGGATGATAGGGGATGGGGTTTGGAGCTGATGATCTCTGAGGTCTTTTCAACCTAAAGGACTGGGATGGGATGGAGGGCCGGCCTCTGGAGGAGCCCGAGAGCCTGTGGGCGATGCCGGCTCCCTGAGGCCCTCTGTCCTGGCAGGGAAAAGCTGCGCTTTGAGTTCAGTTCAGGGCAATTTTGGAAAAAGGAAGGAGATCAGGGAAAGGTTCTTCCCCAGAGGCTGCTGGCACTGCCCAGGCTGCCCAGGGAATGGGCACGGCCCCGAGGCTGCCAGAGCTCCAGGAGCCTTTGGCCAGCGCTGCCAGGGATGCCCAGGGTGGGATTATTGGGGGGTCTGGGCAGGGCAGGGTTGTCACTGGATCATCCTTGTGGATCTTTCCCAACTCAGGTTATTCCATAAGTCGATGAAATATCATCCCATCCTCTGCCATGGCAGGGACACCTTCCACTGTGCCAGGCTGCTCCAGCCCCAGTGTCCAGCCTGGCCCTGGGCACTGCCAGGGATCCAGGGGCAGCCCCAGCTGCTCTGGGCACCCTGTGACAGCCCACCCTCACAGTAATAAATTTGGAAATTACTTTAAATGTTTCTAAATCAGTTATTTTTAATTATTTTTTTTTAATTTAGGTTGTCTAAAAAAGGCAAAATCTGTTGCTTAGTATGAAGAAAAGCAGAGGTCGGACAGATCGAAAGAGAAGAAGAAAGCACTTGAAGAGTTTTATGGATGGAGGTATCATCATGCCTGGAAGTTAAATAATAAAATAACCAATTGTTTCTCAAGGTGTCTTTTTATTTTTTTTATATTTTCAAAAGTCTTTGTGCTTGTAAAGTTACATTCATAAATGTTACTTTTTTTTTTGTATGCAAATATCTGAGCTTTGGTTTACAGTCCCAAGCAGAGCACAGTGAATTTTCCGAGCTCACTTTTCTGCCTAATGGCAAATATCACGTTATTCTAAAATTCTTTGGACATGCTGAATAACTCACACATTTCTGAGACCTCCCAATGCCCAGAGAACCAAAATTTATTTAGTTCAATTCTTTCTTGCTATTCTGTTATGATTTAAAATGTCCAAAATACAGTTTCTCTGATTATACAGTAAAATGTTTGTATTTCCTTTATTGTCCAACAGAATGCTCTTTAATAGCATTAATTTATTTTTCTGTTTTTAGTCAACTGCAGTCACAAGCTGGAATACATTAAACTTAAGAAGTGGCTAAAAGAGAGAGGATTTGAAGACAGTAATTTAAGGCCAGCAGAGTTCTGGGGTAATGCTTTAATTATTTATTAATGGTAAAAATTTCTGAATCTTCTAAGAATTTTAGATTCCTGCTTTCATTTTGAATTATGCCCTTGTCTGGCATCAGGAACAAAAACAGTTACTGATACTCTTCCAAGGATTCTTGGAATGTCAATTTAACATGAAAATTAGATATGGAGGCCTGAAAAAGCCAAAATTTGAAGTGTTAAAAAACCATTTTTTGGAATTTAACCTTGTTATAACTTGTTTATCTTTTCATCCCCAAGTAAGTTCAGCAGGGAGCTGAGGTTCAGTTAGTATTCTTTACAGTAAAGATTTATACTTATATTTTTTCTCTTTCTGTAGGTTATATTTTAAACATTTTATAATATTCTAGACAGAGCAGAAAGAATAGAATGGATGAGAGAAAAATACTGTGACTAGAAATGCTAAAGTTTAGTTAAAACTCTGAAACCAAGAGCTGCAGCTGGTGATGAAAATGTGTTTGAGGAAAAAAATGGAGAAAAAGAAGGTGAATAATTGCTATAAGTGGGAGAAGAAAAAGCTGAATAATTGCTAGAACTGGACAGCAAGTGCTGCAGGATATGCAGGGAAAAGATCCTGAAAAACAAAGAGAATTGGAGAAAAAGAAATGAGGTATATCTGGAACAGTCCATAATTGAATTTATGTTTTATTACACATAGTGCCTGTTCTTTTAGAGCTTTTCCTTGCTGATCACTGATTTTCCATGTCTACATTTATTTACTCCTGCTCTTTGTTCCTTCTTCAGGGACAGGCAGAGGGCTGATGACCACAAAAGCTCTTCAGGTGAGTGATGTTGTTTCTAATGCAGGAGCCCTTCAGGGTTTTTTTTGACATTTAATGATTTTTGCAACAAGCAAAGCTCAGACATCCATTCTGAATGTAATTTCTGGCTTTTGGACTGTTGCAGCCCTAATGTGAAACCACCACTCTCCACAGTAATTAAATGAGTCTTTACACTTGATTTTTACTGGTTTTTGTGTGATATTTTTTTCCCTTCTCCCTCAAAGGCAGGAGATGTGATTATTTCATTGCCTGAGAAGTGTTTGCTCACCACGGGCACTGTCCTCAGCAGCTGCTTGGGAGGCCACATTGAGAAGTAAGTGACAAGTGACACTTGGTGGCCTTTAGAGGGGTTTTTTCAGCAGTAATGAATCCTCTAAAGGGGTGGTGGAGCTTTAAACTGAATATCCTGAGTGGTGCCAGCACTTCAGGGATGTGGAACACTCAGACAGGGAAAATTTTAATCCTGAACATCCCTTTTTAGCTTGGCAGAGCTGTAGAGAGGGCACAGGCTGGAGCTGGAGCTGCCTCAGAGCCTGCTTGGCTCTAAATGCCAGTTAGGAATGGTTTTTTGGGAATTTGGGAATCAGCTTCAACAGGAGAAGGAAGATAAAACTGGGCTGCAAAGCCAGGGCCTTTTAGAAAATTAGGAACAAATTGGAAATTTGGAAAGTTTGGAACAAAGCCTCATGCTGGGCACTGAATACTTGTGTATCCTGAAAAAACCCAGCCTAAGGGTGAATCTGAAATTGTTACTAAAACCAGCTTTTATTGCCCCTTTGAAATCAGCCAAAGGCCCTGGAGATGAACGACAAAGAAGTTTTAAATAGAAGCTATGTATAACTTCCAGAGAGCTCTGAGAGAGGTGAAATCACCTCTGTAGGTCTGCTGCATTGATATTTTTATTATTATATTATTTTTATTTTTACTTTTGTTTTTCTTTTTACTTATTTTTATTTCTAATTTTTATTTTGTTTTTATTTTATTTTTACAATTGTATATTTATATTTATAATTTATTCTATTTATTTATTTTCATTTTACTTTTTATTTTAATTTTAATTTTTATTTTTATTTCTATTAATTTTTTATTTCTATTTATAAAATTTCTATTTTAATTTTTATTATATTTTAATTTCCTTTTTATTTTCCAATAGATGGAAGCCCCCCGTGTCTCCTTTGCTGGCTCTGTGCACGTTTTTGATAGCAGAGAAACACGCTGGGGAGAAATCTCCATGGAAGCCCTACCTGGATGTTCTGCCCAAGACTTACACTTGCCCTGCTTGTTTGGAGCCTGATGTCATAAATCTTCTCCCAAAACCCTTAAAAAAGAAGGCTCAGGAGCAGAAAATGATGATCCAAGAGCTGTTCAGATCTTCCAAAGCTTTCTTCTCTTCCCTGCAGCCTTTATTTGCTGAGAGCACAGGAAGTATTTTTAATTTCAGTGCTCTGGAGTGGGCTTGGTGCACTATAAATACCAGGACAATCTACATGAAACATCCTCACAGGGAGTGTTTCTCCCTGGAGCCAGATGTTTATGCATTGGCACCATATTTAGATTTGCTAAACCACAGCCCAAATGTCCAGGTAAGAAGCTCAAAATAGATCAGTAAATTTCTTTATTTTTACAAAGTGCACTCTGTCAATGCCATCTGCATTTATGTGATGGATGGGGAGTGTGGGGAGGGCAGGGAGAGATCTCACAGGGGGAGAAATGAGAAATGTCTCAGCTCCTCAGGAACTGGAGTGCCAGGACACAGGGAATGGGTTCAGACTGTCAGAGGGCAGGGTTAGGTGGGATATTGGGAAAAAATCCTGTCCTGGGAGGCTGGGGAGGGACTGGGATGGAATTCCCAGAGCAGCTGGGGCTGCCCCTGGATCCCTGGCAGTGCCCAAGGCCAGGCTGGACACTGGGGCTGGAGCAGCCTGGCACAGGGGAAGGTGTCCCTGCCATGGCAGGGGTGGGATGGGATGTTTAAGGTCCCTCCAACCCAAACATTCAGTAATTCTATATTTCAAATATTTCAGTTAGTGCAGCAAAGCCAAGTACAGGGAGAGCCCACAGTGGCTGGGGGAAATTTGCATCCAAAACAGCTTTTGGGAAGAGCCACTTGTAAACACCCCCCTGACCTGCTCCTAAAAGCCAGACAAATTCCTTGTCCTGACACAAATTCCGTGATCACTGTGTTACTTCACCTCTGGCTGAAGCCTCAGAGCAGCCTGAGGGGAATGCAGAGAGAATTTCCACCTTCTGCCAGGCTCAGGGTGCCACCACTGAGCTGGGGCAGCACAGGAGAGGCCAACCAGGTGTGGAACCATCTGTGTTTGCAGATCTGGGGTCTCTCCAAGAGGTCCCCACAATTGAACAAGAATTTCAATCCTCTGCCGTTTCAAAATTCAAATGTTTGTTTCCTTTTTCACCCTACCAAGAGTAAAAGTCTTTTATTTTTCACTCCCTGAAGGTCAAGGCTGGGTTTAATGAGCAGACAAGGAGCTATGAAATTTGGACAAATTCACAATGCAAAAAATACCAGGAAGTTCTGATCTGCTATGGACCTCATGATAATCAGAGGCTGCTGCTGGAATATGGATTTGTTGCCATGGACAACCCTCACAGCAGTGTTTATGTCTCAGCAGGTTGGATTTATGGATTCTCTGAGCATTGAAAGGCACAAAAACAGACAGCTGAACGTGTAGATTCTCAAGGAGTGGAAAAGGGTTTGATACCTCTTTGCATAGACTTCAGTGATTTCATTTTTGCTTAATTAAAATGGCTTTTGTTACTATGTTATTTTTTAAATTGTTATTATTAACAACATCTGTGTAGAGATGCCAGCTGGATGTCTTAGATTGCTGCATTGAGGATTGAAATCCAGATCTCCACAGACTGAACTTGCTTGGAGTGTTTCATAACTTCAGTTTGAGTCAGGATTTCTGTTAGAGCCCTGGAGAGTGCTGATAGCTTTTGAGAATTTTGAAAAGTTCACCAAAATTTAACAGGTTTTGATCTTACTCCTACATGAAAAATATGGTTGAAATCTTTTCTCAGAATTGATGATTGTGGTTTCTCTTACATACAATTGATTTATATATTTGAACTGTACTTTTCTGCAGATACTCTCCTCAAATATTTCTCACCACTGGACGAGCAGAGAAAGGCCAAAGTTTCCATTCTAAAGGATCATGATTTCCTAGAGTAAGTATCTGGAGTTTTTAATTTCCTGGTGAGATTTTTTTCTGTTTTTCTGGGAGTCAAATTTTGCTTCTAGTATCAAAATCCAGCAAAAGAAAAATTATAATTATTTGTTTTTTAGCAAACTAAAAAGAGAAGTTATAGAAACTTCTGAAATGGAGAAGTTATAAACACCAGTATCAAAGCTGGAGATCTTCCATGGCTCATGTGACTCAGGAAGAAAACTCACTCTAAACTTCACCTTAACTTCATCTCATCCCTTGGACTTTGTAGGAATTTGACCTTTGGCTGGGAGGGACCATCCTGGAGACTCCTCACAGCCCTCAAGGTGCTGAGTCTGGCAGCAGATGAATTGTGAGTTGGAGCACCCTGAATATTTATTTGGTGGGTGTGCAGGTGCCTTTCTTTTCTCCAGCCTGAGCCCCCCCAGTTCAGCTGCTCCCCCCAGGATTTATTTTCCAGCCTCTTCAATATTTTGTTTCCCCTCACTCTTTGTTCTCTGGTGGCTGTGAGTGACACACTGGGACAATTTTTGCATCTCCTGTGTCTGTTTTGTTGACCCCAGGTGAGAAGTGAAAAGAAGAAAGGCAGAGAACATCATTAACTGTAAAATCCCTCCCTTTTTGCTGCTTTGGTGATTTTCTTTCTTGTATTATTTTCCCTTTCTATTTCAAGCCCCAGGTATCCCCTCAAGGTTCAGGCTCCAGGCCTTTTTCCTTTTGGTTTGATGAAATTTTAAATGCTCTTAACCTGGCTTAATTTCCTTGAGTCATGTGTTCCACAGGCTGGAATTGCAGGACCAAGGAAGTTGCTGAAATTCATCTCCAGGGACTCTCAGTGCACTTTGGAGCATTTATTCCAAAGGCAAATCTGCCTCAAACACCAGGGCTGGAAAATTATTACCTGCACTTTGCTTGGAATAAATGAAATGAGGGAATAAATTAATGAGAAAAGGCTTCTTCAGAGTTGTTTGTGCTTTGAAGATTCATTGCTGAGTGGAATAAATTGATCTAAGAACTAAAAATAAATCCCTGGGCTGGGTTACAAGCCCAGGTGAGGGCCAGGGCAGCAGAGCCACGTTTGGCATCCAGCTGGGGAGTGCAGCAAATAATTCTGTATTCTTCAAACATTTTGGTTCCAGTGCTTGCTGGAGGAGGATCCTGCTTGGTGATGTCACTTCAGCCAGGAATGAACAGCAAGCTTTGGGTACAGCAGCAAAAATTTGTCAGTTTTTAATAGAGGAGACCCAGCACGTCCTTCTCCAGGTAACTTGGGAAAACAAGGAGCTCAGATTCCTTTCTCTGTCAGAACCATGTCATTTTCTGGGTGAGAATTTTGATGATTTTTCCCTTTCCCTCTTTTTTTTTTTTTCCTTTTTGCTACTAAAGTTTCTCTTGTGGAATTTAAAAAACCCACTATTTTAACAAAATCAATAAAATCCTTACAGATTTCCACAGATTTTCTCTTCATGTCCTATTAAATAATCAAAATTTTGAATCATTTCATCCCATTTGTCTCAATTTCAGATTTCCCAGCTGAAAAGAGACAAAGAGAACCTCAAAACCCACCTGGCTTTGGTGGAAATGCTGCGCTCAGAAGACCTCAAGATCCTTCAAAAATCAGCTGAGATTCTTTGCAACTTGAATTTAGGAACAACTTGAGCCCCCTGGAGCTGTGACAGGGATTATTGCCAGATTATTGCTCTTTTAATGGATTTGAGCAGCAAAGAATAATTTAAAATTTCATCAGAGTAATTTTGTTCTTTGCTGACCTTCACACAAAAGGTTCTGCTGAAGTGGAGAGCTCGAGCTCCTTGGTTTGGAGAAAAGAGAATTTTTTTAAAGGGCATTTCAGGGCAGGACCCTTATTTAAGCTGCAGAAACTTCATTTGGGATTGGGATTCTCTTGTGATTATTGTCCATGATGTGATTTTAAAAAGTGCTTATTTTTGTAAATATATTACTTCATTTTCTACGAGACTTGTCTGTTTTATTTTTCTAAAATCCTTTCTGGAGCTGGAACTCCATTTCTTACATCCTTGAGGCCAATTCACCTTCAGATTTGCCTAAATTATGTTTTTAAGTCACTTGCCACCATATTTTACACTCTAATCAGTCCCATTAAGCCTTGATCAGTTTAGACTGGATATCAGGAATCTTTTTTCATGGGAAGGGTTGTAAAACTGGAACAGGATACCCAGAGAAGAGTCCCCCATCCCTGGGAGTGTCCAGAAACATGGATGTGGCACTTGAGGACTTGGTTTGATGGTGACCATGGGGTGATGGTTGGACTTGGAGCTTAAAGTCTTTTCCAGCCTTAAGGATTCTGGCATTTTCTGACCTCCTGAGGTTCCTTTGGATTTGGGAATGCTGTTCTGTAGGGAATTCTTACCAGTTTTCCTCCGGATCCTTCAGTGACTGTCTCAGCTCTGCCCCTGTGACTGTTTGACCTTCCTTTAATAAACCCCTTTTCATTCTCTGACACCAGCTGTGTTTCTAATTTTATCATTGATCACAAAATGGTGCCAGAGTTAAAGGAGATAAGAATGTTTGGCTGGTTTATTCCCTTTTTTTTTTTTTTTTTCCCTGAGGATGGTTATTTTAAGAACAGCCCCTGTACAATGTGTCTGGCGAGGTGAATACGAGTTGGACAGAAGTTGATTTGGTTTTGCTGGGGGCTCCACATTTATTCCAGGTGCTTTGGATATGAGCTCTGCTCCTGGAACTCCTACACACCTCCAGGGAGAGCAGGAAAGGGGTCTGGAAGTGCAGGAAAGAAGGCAGAGCACAGCAATTTATGTGTATATATAAAAATATACCTTAAATTTAAGCTTAAACTTTTTTGATTCAACCTATACTGTGTGCAAGACAGGGCTGAGAGCTGAGGTCCCTGAGGAGGCACCAGCCTTGGGAATGCTCTCTACCTGTTTTACAGACTAAATCAAGTTTTCAGAGGGAAAATTCTCCCTCTCAGCCTCTACTTTCAGCTGCAAACAGCATCTCCTCAGTGATGTGCTGTTAACATTTCACTCTGGCTCCCTGTTCCCTGAGAAAGGATTGAGCTGGGATCTTACTGTGGAAAAAAATAAATAAATAAAAAAGAAGCTTGATTTCCCTCTTGGTCTAAATTTCCTTTCAGATTGAACCTGCAAATCTGAGCAACATTGGGAATAAAATCAGCTTCTACCCAGGAGTGCTACAAACCTGGGCCACAGCAGGCCAGGGAGTTGGTTTCTCTCCCAGCTTGTGCAGTGTTACCCAAAAAGTGAAATTGAGGGGTTGGAGCTTGGCCACAGAGGGCAAAAAAACTGGGAAAGGGCTGGAAAACAAATCCTGGGGGGAGCAGCTGAACTGGGGGGGCCTGCTGAGGTGGCACTGGGTGATCCTGAGGGGCTCTTCCCACCTTGGTGATTTGGGATTGAAGCTGAGCTGAAGTGGGAAGGCATTCAAAGACAAATTGGGTTTGTTCAGGTAATCAGAGCCGGCAGATTTCATGTGATAATAGCACGAGGCAGAAATAGCACAGTTGATTTTTTTTATTTTTTAAGAGAGGTGTTGATTTAGTGCACTCACTGAAGTCACTGAAAAATTATAAACATGAAACCTCCTGACAAAAATCTTTGCTGTGTCAGTTTATGTCAATAAAACATGGATTTCCTTTGATCTGCTGCAGAAAGTGGCTCCCAGTTGAGAGTTTTCCCCTGTAATGTGTGGAGCTCATCCATCACTGCCGAGTGCCCTCAGGCCTGTCTGGCTTGGGACAAGATAAGGGAGTATCAACTTCACAGCCTGATAATTAAAGCTTTTAAATAAGCTATGAAAACACTGCCAAGATGACATTCCCAAAGAAAGAGCTTTTAAAAATGACATAGTCCAAAAAGTGCCACACTTGGGCAGAATTAGCAATGTTTGCAGTCAATCATTCAAGTGATGGATTTCATATTCTATGGGACACTGGAAAAATCCCCCCAAAAAAAACTTTATGTGTTTCTTTAAACAGTAAGAGGATCAGGTTTCTCACAGAAGATGTGGCTGCCCCTGGATCCCTGGAAATGTCCAAGGCCAGGCTGGATGGGATTTGGAGAAACCTGGCAGGGGGTGAAATAATTTGTAATGTCCCTTCCAACCCAAACCATTCCATAAATGGAAAGAAAAAATTCCATTTCCAGCTCATTTCACTGTATGTTCCAGTGGATATCTGCAATCCCAGAATTCAGGTTTAGAAAGCATTGCACTGAAGTGTATTCAGGGGAAAACCAAAGATAACTAATCCCAAATCAATTGTATAAAATGTAAAACCGATGCAATCTCTGTGCTGTCCACTAGATGTTGCAGCTGCACTGCAGAGAAATAAGGAATTACAGCAGATCCACATCCAATTACAATCCTATTTACTGTCTTACATTTATAACAGTAAAAAGCATTGTCTTCAGTGATATACCCCACCTGCATTTAGATAAATAGTTCAAAATGTCATTTTCTTTCTGCTCTGAAAGTGAAACGTGAAGGTTTCTAGTTTTTGTCTTAGTTTTATTGGGATTTAACTTTTTTTTTTTGTTCTTCTCACAAGTTTCCTCATGGCATTCCTCTTGGAACTCACTCAGAGTTTAAATCATTGCCTGGATGATGCTGAAGGTCTCTTCCAGCCTTGATTCCATGAACTCTACTCTGATGGTTTAATTAGGGGGATTGCAGTGGAGAAATGTCTGTTCCTGTGTTTTATTCCTTCAGAATTAGGGTCCTGATGGATCTTTGGCACAGATCCCTCTCAATAATGTCCTTGGATGGAGCAGATTGAAACATTTCCACTGACTGGGGGGATTTTGGAGAAGAGAAACTTCAGGGTGACCTCATTGTGGCCTTGCAGGACCTGAAGGAGCTGAGAGAAACACGGAGAGAGACAATTTCCAAGGGCTGGAGTCCCTGCCATGGAATTGGTGGCATTGGGTGGGCTTTGAGGTCCCTTCCAAACCATTCCATGATTCCATGGTGCTGGAGTTGGGCAGGAGGAATCATCAGGTGAGCTCTGCATCCCTTGCAGACATTCCAGAGGTTCTGGATGTGCCCCTGGCAGGAGCTGGCAGGGGCAGCTGGGCCCTCGTGACCCCTGGCAGGCAGCGATGAGGGGACAAGGGACACTCTCAGCAGGAGGCTGCTGCCACTCCTGGCTGTACCAGCCTGCCCAGGCTGGCATCCAGAGCTTGTCCAGAAGAAACCAACAAGGAATTGTGTGAGAAATGGATTTACAGAAAATTTTTAAAGTTTAATAGAAGCTTTATATAGTGTGTATACAAAATAAGTTTATTACAGTAAGTATAGTGTGTTACAACATAAGTTTGTATACATTAAATATAATATAATATAATATAATATAATATAATATAATATAATGTAATGTAATATAATATAATATAACTTTACATAATATAATATAATATAACATAACATAACATAACATAATATAATATAATATGTAATATAATGTAATATAACATAACATAACATAATACAATAAATATAATATAATATAATATAATATAATATAATATAATATAATATATATGATTATTATAACTAAGTTTATATACATTAATTATTATAGTGACAATATTAGTTACAGTGCCTTGTGTACTTCACTGTACACAACAACCAATAAAGAACAAACTTATAATGTATTGTAATTAGGAAATAATTGGCTTTTGATTGTGATGACTTGAATTGCAACATCTGTGTTGTCTCACCCTTCTCATGAGACTGAAAATGGAATAAAAATTTTTTAAATGCCTCTCAGTTACCCCATCTCTGGGTGAGAAAAGGGCTTAATTCTACAGAATTTAGGGAATTTGGGTGTCCTTCCCATGAGATGAGCACTGAAAGGACAGTGATGGAATTTTGGGGAATATGGGTGTCCCAGGGATGGAATTTTGGGGAATTTGGATGTCCTTCCCATGAGATGAGCACTGAAAGGACAGTGATGGAATTTTGGGGAATATGGGTGTCCCAGAAATGGAATTTCGGGGAATTTGGATGTCCTTCCCATGAGATGAGCTCTGCAAGGACAGAGATGCTCGGTGGGGCTGGTCTGGCCTGCAGAGGATGTTGGGGAGGGATCAAGAAGGACCTTTTGGCATTTTTTGGCAGTGCTGGAGCCTTTTTGTTGCACTGGTCCACCTGGGGGTGTCACTGCTCCTTGCACAGATGGGGATGGACACAGATCCCTGGTGGGAAATCTCTCATTTTCTGTTGTATCACTGTATCCCAGAATTCCAGAATTTTTTGGGTTGGAAGGAACCTTAAAGACCATCCCGTTCCACTCCTGCCACAGGCAGGAACACCTTGCACTGGAAAAAATCATTCAGGGAGTTGTGCAGAGCAAGGGAAAAAAAAAAGGAGGAGAGAAACAACACTGAAAAAATCAAATGGTTAAACATTCCTAATTTCCAAATAAAATGTTTTTGTTAGAGAAAATGGGCAGAGGATTGTGAAACAAAGAAACCCCAGACCCCTGCAAGATGAAACAGCGTGGAAAATGTTGTTAATGCACCCAGATTCTCTGGAGCTTCCCCCTGCTTTCCCCACTGGTTCAAGATTTGGATTTAAGTCAATAACAAAATGCAACTGTTGAATGTCAAGGAGGGGGAAATGGGAGTGTTCCTTGGATAATTCACAAAGCAGCTGCTGCTGTTGGGTTGTGTTACTTAGGAAAAGATGCTGCTCCCCTTGGGAGGAAGAGACAAATTTCTGCTAATTTGGCGTTCCAGGGGCAGCAGGGTTGATGCTCTGTGAGCCCAGCAGACAGCAAAGAGAACACGAGGACTGAGGCAAACACTCCTGACAGTTCAGGTATAAATGTGCAGCAAAATGGACCTAAATCTTCTGTCTAAAATGAGAAAAGTCAAGAGAGAACTAACAGTGAGGTATTGAAATCATTCTTTAAACACAGTTGGAGGGCCTGAGCTATTTTTACCTGTCTTG